ATCACCTGCAGCGTCCGTGCGGTCGACCGTCACGGTCGTCCGCCTTCAGCTCCAGAGCCTCCTGCTTTCGCTGTCGACCGCCGCTGACTCGTGGTCGACCGCCAGTCTGCCTGGCTAATTCCCTGAACTTCTCTCGCCACTTCTTCAATTCTCCACATCGGGGAATGTTTCTACCAAAACTGAGCCGACACCAAATCATCCAAATGTCCCACTCGTTGCATCCAGGACGTTGTGGAAACACCCCACGACAACGAACTTAATCCACAACAAGTCGAGAAGCCAAACGTGAGCTGAAACGATTTCCCCCATCTGAATCAAACCGGTTGTATCGAAAGACTGCCTACGTATCCTCTTGCCCAAGGAATCAAGCCGAACGTAGTTCACCCAAATGGCCTCCAAAGGTCTCAACACTGAAGAGTGTACAAAAGCTTCAAACAATGACTAAATTTCACACCTAAAACAACTTTGGTCATCATATCTGTAGGGTTGTCGTTCGTGTGGACCTTATCTAATATGACGTCTCTATCATCCAAAACATCACGAACAAAATTGAATCTAACATCGATGTGCTTCGTGCGCGCATGATAAACCTGGTTCTTCACCAAATAGATAGTCGACATGCTATCACAAAATACCCGAATGGTCTCCTATGCGATCCCCAAGTCATCCAATAATCCCTGTAGCCACAAAGCCTCCTTAACAGCCTCAGTCACCGTCATATACTCCGCCTCTGTAGTATAGAGAGCCACTGTGGACTGAAGCGTACATCGCTAACATACCGGTGTACCTGCTAATGTAAACACATAACCTAAAGTAGACAGGCGCTTATCAAGATCTTTAGCATAATCTGAATCCACATAACCAATACAATCCTGCTCATTCTTCTCATCCTTCTGGAATACCAAACCAACATCCACGGTGCCTCTAACATACCGTAGAATCCACTTCACGACCTCCCAATGACCCTTCCTGGGGTCGTGCATGTATCTCGATACCATGCTCATGGCCTGTGACAAATCTGGCCTGGTACATACCATCGCATACATCAAGCTACCTACTGCACTAGCATATGAGACCTTCGACATATAATCTCTGTCCTCAACTGAAACAGGCGACATCAACGTTGAAATCTTGAAGTGGAGAGACAATGGTATGCTAACTACTTTTGCATTGCCCTCAAAGATGAATTTCTTTAACATCTTCTGCAAATAGCTCTTCTGTGTAAGCTTCAAACTCCCCTTCACCATGTTTCTCTTGATCTCCATACCCAATATCTTCTTTGCTTCTCCAAGATCCTTCATCTCAAACTCGGATTACAGCTCCTCTTTTAACTTTCGAATAGCCGAAGAATTCTTGGAAGCAATAAGCATATCGTCAATATATAAAAGTAAATATATATGCTCACCATCCTATAGCTTATGCATGTAAATACATGGGTCATATGGGCTCCTCGTGTACCCATGGCCAATCATGAAGCTGTCGAATCTCTTATACCACTGTCTCGGTGATTGCTTCAAACCATAAAGAGACTTTTCAGCTTGCAAACTAATTCTTCTATTCCTGCAGCTTTGAATCCTAAGGGTTATGTCATGTAGATCTCCTCATCTAAATCTTCGTGTAGAAAGGCTGTCTTTACATCCATTTGGACCAAATCCAAATCCAACTGTGCCACCAACGCCAATAAAATCCAAATCGACGAATGCTTCACAACGGGTGAAAATACCTCGTTGTAATCAATTCCCTCAAGCTATGCATATCCCTTGGCAACCAATCTGGCTTTGAACTGAATGTCCCCAATAGAAGATCTCTCCTTCTTCGCATGTACTCACTTTCAACCAATAGCTTTCTTACCCTTAGGTAGCTTTGCAAGTTCCCAAGTGTCGTTCTTCTGAAGAGATCGTATCTCCTCCTCCATAGCTTCCCTCCACCTGATCGAATCAGGGCTAGACTCTGCCTCCCTGAATGTGGATGGAACCATATCATCAACGACCTCTACTGATAATGCATATGCGACCATGACATCATTATACCTAGCTGGCCGACGAATCACCCTCCTCGGTCTATCTGCTGCAATGGATCCCTGAACATAACCCTGCTCCTGATTCTTACCATCCACTGTATCCTCTATCTGCCCGGCTATCATCTCCTCTCCTCCCAGTATCACCTCTGTAGGAGCCTCGATGGATACAATGCTATCTGGAGTAGGTGGATTCATATCATCCTTCATCTGCTGTGATATCTCAACTGTCTGGTCTCCCTCCACCTGCTGAGGCACTCAAGGCCTCATCATGTACACCTTATCGTATGTGATATCTCAGCTAATAACTATCTTCTTGTCCTGTGGATCCCATAACTTGAAGCATTTAACTCCATCTCTAAATCCCACAAAGACAGCTATTCTCGCCCTCGGATTTAGTTTACCATCATTGACATGGTAATAAGCTGGACACCCAAATATCCGAATCGACTCATGGTCACTAGCCACCGAACCAAACCAACGCTCCAAAGGAGTCTTCCCTCTATCGCAGTGCATGGCAATCTATTTACGAGATAGCTCGCATAAACCAACGTCTCGGTCCAAAATGATCAAGGCAATCCACTCTGTGTCATCATACATCGCACCTTCTCTAGCAATGTATGGTTTAATATTTCAACCACCCTGTGCTGTTACAGTGTCTCTCGAACTGTGAAGTATCTTCTAATGTCGTGATCCTGACAAAACTACAGAAATGGATCACTCTTGTACTCTCCACCGTTATCTGAATGTAGAGTCTTCACCTTTCTACCTGCCTGCAGCTCCACTTTCTTTTTCTACTCCACAAAAATATCCAGGACCTGATGTTTATGCTTCATAGGGTATACCCAATTCCTCCTGAAATAATCATCAATGAAAGTGATTAAATAATTGGCCCCACTAAGAGATGTATTTTGGGAAGGACCCCAAACATCTGTGTGAATATAATCCAATGTACCTCGGGTGTTGTGAACAGCGGTGCTAAACTTCACTGTAGTTTTCTTCCCAAGTACACAATGCTCACATAGCTCCATCTTGCAGGTCTTAGCACCTTTTAATAGCCCCTGTTTTACCAATGACTGTAGGGGCTTATCACCTGTGTGTTCAAGTCTCATGTGTCATAAAGTTGTAGTGTCCTCCTCTGTAGTGATAGAAGCTGCCAGACCCCCTGTAACTATCTTACCCTTCAAATACTATAGGTTATTTTCTCTGACACCTCGTATCACTACCATGGAACCCTTCGTGATCTTCACTGTAGCATCCTCTAAGATAACTTTATATCGAGCTGCATCCAAAGTCCCAAGAGAAATGATGTTCTTCGTCAACTACGGCACGAACCTCACTTCCTTCAACTTCCTAATCACTCCGTCATGCATCCTAATCCGGACTGAACCAATACCACCAATAGGGTATATGTGGTCATTACCCATAAGCACGATATCCCCTCTTTCCAACTCCTCAAAGCTGGAGAACCAATCCCTCCAAGGGAAAATATGATATGTAGCTCCGGAATCCATCATCCACTCCGTGGAATCAGCATAGCAAACCGACAGTAGTGCTGGACACGAATAGCCCGAAGAATCTGAATCTGAATGCTCATCAATAGCTTTTACAATATTTACTTCTGAAACTTGTACAGCTTTTCCTTTGTTCTTCCTGGCTTTTTCCTTCTACTTTGGGCAGTCAATCTTCCAATGTCCTTCTTCTTTACAATACTAATATTGGTTTCTACCAACACTCTTATAGGTACTCATATTCTTTGACTTTGAGCGGTTGAACTGGCAGCGGTTTGGATCTCGGCCTCGAATAGCTAATGCATCTCCCGATGCCTTCTCGGAGGGTTTACCATCACTCTTCCTTAACTAATAATTCACCAAAGCTGAGGTCACCTCCTTATAGCTAACAGTAGTTCTTCCATTGATCATAGTTAGAACGAACGTACCATAATCATCTTTCGGCAACGAGCACAAAAGTGACATCGCCTTGTCTTCATCCTTAACCATGATATCCACATTGACCATATCTGAAAGTAGCTTTGTGAAATTGTTGACATGCTGTCTGATGGAAACTACCCTATTCATCTTGAACTGATAAAACCTCTTCTTCTAGTGAAGCTGATTCTCAATGCTCTTAGTAAGATACTTCTCATTGAGTGTTTCCCACATTTTCTTCACCAACGTCTCGTTCATAACACCATAAATAAGATCCGGTGTCAAGCATGACCAAATAACTCCACAAACTCTAGTATTCATCTTCTTCCAAACCTTATCCTCCATGTCTTCGGGTTTCTCTTATAACTCAAGAGTCTCCTCCAAATTCTGTGCATCCAAGGCGTCCATTACCTGACACCTCCACAATCCGAAATTAATCTTGCCGTCGAACTTCGGAACATCAATCTTCGTATTATTAATACTCAGACTTTGTATCACCTTCGTAAGACTATGTGCAGCAGGAAGGGAAAGTGACAATTTTTGCATGCAGCAGCTAGGGAAGAGGGTAGGGAAAATTCGCTACTTGTGCAGATGGGGAAAATTTTCCCTTCGGTGAAATTTCATGAAAAGCAAAGAATGGGTCCCACAAGCTACATAAAAAAAACAAAATCAAATATTCACCTAATACAATGGGCAACGTGCCCTCTTTTCATTGGACCCCCTTTATTTTGTTTTCACCTAATCTTTAAATTACAGATTTGGAGCATAAATAATTCGAATTAATTTTTTTTATATCATTATTCCTAATTTTTCAAGATCTATAAATAGAGACTAAGTTTGTGTCATTTGGACACCAGAAAAAATCTACGATTTTACACCCTTTATTTCCTCTTTTTTGCATTTCTCTCTAGTTTCTTCTCCATTGTCAAGCTTTTTTGCAACCTTCAAACTTCATGGATCCTTCCCAAAACTACAATTTCCCCTCAGGTTACAATTTTCCTAATCTTCCTCAAAATTCTAACATGCAACGCCCTGAAAATACTCAGAATACGGGGATGCAGGCCAATTTTCAGATGCCGTATATGATGCCTCAAAATATGGGCATGCAATACCCGTATAATGCTCCTTATATGGCCTATGGGTATCAACCATTTCCTGGAAACAGCTATGCTCCGTCCACCATGAACTTTCCAACCGCTGGTCCGCCTACGGAGCCTCTTACACCCCGTTTTAGTAGTGGATCGACTGATATCCCGGAATTTTCCACCCAGATCTCTCTTGAAAATGTTGATGGGGATACACCCCATAGTTTTCTAGCTCCAACCCAGCAATCAACCAAGAGATCAAGTTATGATAGTTGGAGCACCGAAGACAACAAAGTTCTACTCACTGGTTACTTTCACTTTAGTAACGACAGTGAATTGGGGAACAACCAAAAGGGTGAGACTTTCTGGGGTAAAGTTACAGACTACGTTAATGAGAACTCAACAAGTGGAAAAGTGAGGACCATATCAAAGTGTCAAAGTCATCACCGTGACATCAACAAAAAGATTTGCGGTTTTGTTGGTTGTTACAGTGCTCGATGGCGTGTAAGGGAGAGGAAAAGTGTTTGGTCCGATGATAAACTATATACGACAAGGCTGTGGAGTTGTATTCGGAGAAATACAATGGGAAATTCGGCATTTGGTTGAGGCTAATGGAAGCTTGTTCGAAATCAACGGCGCAATATATCCATCGGGTTAAAATGAACTCGGGAAGTAGTCGGATCCAAAGAAAGAGTAGTGCGATGACGTGGGAATCTGTTCGCTACATGTTATACGTCCGGAGGAAGGATGCTGCAAAAGAAGAAAGCTAGAGCTTCTGCTTAGTAAATCTCCAGTTCAAGGAATCGAAGGTTGTTCTTGACGAGGAGTTATCCCTCTAGTTACCTCATGATGATGGCCTATGGAAGAAGAGAGCAAATATCTGTTGAGGCATATGAATGGCCCTCGCTCCCGGTGCCAAGAATAGTGAGAGTTATTTGTTAATTGAGAAAACAAACGCCAGATCGAGACGATGGAAGAAGAAGGAATTATTGAAATATGTTGAGGAAGGATCTATTTGGCAAATAAAGATCATCGTGTTACTGCTTGTTGTGTTTTCTTGTTTAAGTGTTTTGTGTTAACGGTGGTGTTCAACCTCGGAGGTCGTTGGTAGTGTTTTGTAATAGGCCATTTTAATGTTTCAATAAAAATTTATGTTTTCGTTTGAATAAATGCGCGATTGAACATGACAGACCCTTCAAAATTAATCAATAAGTGAAATGACTACACACGCACAACAAGGTACAAAATGAGACAGAACTATCCTGCACAAAAATCAAGATGAAATGACAACACCTCGCAACTTGCATGCCGCTACTACACATGGCTCTACTATTGCATTGAATGACAACACTTGGGCAGTGGTATGCATGTGTGACCAACACTTGGACAAGTAGGGAATGCATGAGTGACAACACTTGGCAGTGGTAATGCATGTGTGACAACACTTGTTCTGCAAATGCATGCCCTCGTCAAGTCAATTATTTGAGCACATACCATTCATTATAAAACCTGACCAAATACACATCATAAGTATACCTATCAACATTTTGTTCTTCATATCATCAAATGGATCCAATCCTAAGTGAGTTCTTCAAACGACAATGGGAGTTGGAAGACAAAATACTTGAGAGGCAGCAAGAACTACTAGAAGAGTTGCAAAGGAGAAATGAAAAAACACATAAGAGAAAATCCATATACAGAGATCATCATGCAGCGCACGAGAGGCTCATGGCAGACTACTTTGCCGAATCGTGCACTTACACTGATGCACAATTCCGACGCAGGTATCGAATGAAAAGGCCTCTCTTTCTACGAATTGTGGACTCTATATCAAATTACGACGATTACTTCACACAACGGCGCAATAATGCGGGCAAGCTTGGGTTAACGCCTATCCAGAAGTGTACGGCTGCCATACGCATGCTCGCATATGGAGTCCCAGCAGATGCTTGTGATGAGTACGTGAAGATAGGGGAATCCACTGCAATCGAGTGTACTCGTAAGTTTTGTGAAGGGGTAATAGCCTTGTTTGAAAATGAATACTTAAGACGACCAAATGTTGAAGACTTGCAGAGGTTGCTCCATGTTGGTCAGGAGCGTGGTTTCCCCGGGATGATTGGAAGTATCGATTGCATGCACTGGCAATGGAAGAATTGTCCAAAGGCTTGGCAAGGGCAGTTTACTAGTGGACACAAGGGAACAGCAACCAGTCATTCTCGAGGCGGTTGCGTCATATGATTTGTGGATATGGCATGCTTTTTTTGGCTTGCCTGGTACATTGAACGACATAAATGTACTAGATAGGTCGCCAGTTTTTGACGACATTGAGTCCGGTGAAGCGCCACAGGTAAACTTCACCGTGAATGGGCGACAATACAATCTTGCATACTATCTAGCTGATGGAATCTATCCTAAATGGCCCGTCTTCGTCCAGTCAATTCAAATGCCCCACGGCAACAAGCAACAATTATTTGCCAAACAACAAGAATCATGCAGGAAGGATGTGGAACGTGCATTCGGGGTTCTCCAAGCACGGTTCTCTATTGTTCGCCAACCAGCTAGAATGTGGGATCTTGATGTCTTAGGAAAAATAATGAGTGCATGCATTATTTTACATAACATGATAGTCGAGGATGAGCGAGATACGTATTCACGGAACTAGGAAAATCTCGACTTCGAACCATCTAACAATTCTGGCTCTAGCTCTAGCTCCTCTTTCAATGTTCATACAGAAGTGTTGCCCAAGTTCCAAGTGCACGTTCAAGGAAGATCAGAATCAAATATTCATACTAGAACTGAACTACGTGATAGGGCTCAACATATTCAGTTGAAGAAAGATCTTGTCGAACACATTTGGCAAAAATTTGGAACAACTCTCGACTAGATTTACCAATTGCTCGCGTGTTTTCTTTTATGTTATCAATAATTTGTATGTTTGGTTTTTCGTGTGCTTAATAAAATTGTGTGTTATTTTATGTCAATTTAAAAATAATATTAAAAATTAAAATTAAAAAATTTATGTAAATATTATATATTAATTATTGAATAATGAATTTTTCTAAAACTATAATTATAAATATATTAGTTGTAATACTAATAATAATTAATATATGAAATAAGAAAGATGAGTGAATAAATATGGTGGGGTATATGTTGGTGTGATGTGGTATTGGTGGGTCCCAAATAAAGTAAAAATGTTTATGAAAAACTAGCTGCTGCAGAGTTGATAGGGAAATGTGTATTATTGAATTATGTGGTGGGAGAATAAAGTGATGTGGCAGGGGAAGACAAACCTGATGTGCTTGCTTCTCTCATATTATCGATCTAACTCTTCAGATAAGAATTCTTCATCGAATCCTTTGAACAAGCCTGAAGCTCTGATATCAATTGTTGTGCGCGGCGAAAGCCTCAAAGCGACACGAACAAGAACAAGAGATAAATCACAACTAATAAACCAAACACAATACCACAGCAAGACAACGAGTTTAACATGGTTCGGCAAGTTGCCTACGTCCACGAGGCAAGGAGGGGGGAGTTCTTACTATTAGAAATTAAGAGAATACAAATAGAGTTACAAATCTCACCTATCAAACCCTAAAACAAAGCTCTAGATTTCTCATAAATCTTCCACAATTGGATGCATCAATCCTCTCCTAAAGACTGCTCAAAAACATTATTACTTAACCCTAACTAATCAGGATTAGAGTTATATATCAGTTCCAAAATGAACCGGGTCAAATAACTGACCCAACTGCAAACCCGCTATGCGGTCGACCGTGACGATTGACCGTGCAGGTATCACGGTCGACCGCGACGGTCGACCACGACGGTCGACCGAACACCCCCGACAGAGAATAAATCGATTACAGGAAACCCACAGTCGACCGCGGCGATCGACCGAACCAATTCCCGAGAGTTAAATTGCCTATAGGATCCGCGCGGTAGGATCCGCGCGGTCGCCCGTCACAGTCGACTGTCTTTAGCTCCAAAGCCTCCTGCTCTCCTGTGCATGTTCGCGGTTGACCGCCGCTGACTTGCGGTTGACCGCCAGTCTGTCTGGCTAATTCCTGCAGATTTCCTGAACTTCTCTCGCCACTTCTTCACATACCGTGCACAAAAGTTTTACATTTGTAATACATATACAACAGAAAGTTTATTTTCTAAGCATTGTTAGTCGCAGAGTGACCTCTCATGATCCAGCGAGACCCAGACTCTCGTTGAATAAATTCGTTACAAAAATTTTGTTTATGCCAACGAAGGAATATCTCTTTTTCTTTTTTTTTTCTTTTTTTTTTTTTACTTTTGCTCCCCTTTTGGTTGCTCTCAGCTCTTTATTGCCTGAGAAAATTGGTTCAATAATTTAATATAGTAATAGTAATTATTGATGCGGTGAAGTCGTTCAATCAGGACTTCAAGGGTTGTAGCATCTTTCAATTTGTAATATTGTTTGTGAGCCACTCCATAGACTGTCCCTTTAACGAACACCTCAGCAAAGAAAACGGAGAACATCACATGAAGGTACTTTTGCTGATTTTGGGTTGCTAAGTCAATTCAATTAGATGGCATTAATGTAACTTACTAATCAAATTGCCCAAATCAAAGGATAGCGCAAAGAGCTGATTACTCCAAATACTTATCTTAGTGCTTCATGTTTCAACAAGCAGCTACCTTGCTATTTGGTGTAAACTAATTTAGAAGGGAGCTTACCTAAAGTTTAATGGGCTACATCAATCTCATTTCAAGTTCTTCAACAACTGGCCCGTTTGCAAAATATACAGTACACAACAAATCAATATCTTTTTATTATGCCTATAAATCAAAATAAACATGTGAACAGTATAATTTATAAATTCAGCGACTAACTACTTACTTAATGATATACCTCCAGAATATGAAAAATATCTACCAATTATACAAGTATTTGACAGATGAAAAAAATGTACTGTTTCTTTTCACAAAAAAAAAAGAAAAATAAAAGGAAAAAAAATGTACTTGTTCTATAAGTATTTGTGCCACAAAATATTGTGTGTTCCTTCTTGTAGAAACAAATTGTAGAAACGACCAAAACATTGGAGAAGATCAGGAAATTTGATGCAGACAAGCATTTGGGTGCTTGCCGGTCGACCACGAGCTTTGGCGCGGTCGACCGCAAACGTTCACGACTACAGGTGTTTTTCGATTTTCTAGCTGGTGGATCGTGGAGTTAAGTGCGGTCGACCGCGGACCCTGTAATGGCTTTTCTTGGTCTTTGTCGTTCTGTCCGGTCGACCACGAGCTTTAGCGCAGTCGACCGCCAGTCGGGTTTGGGCCTGAGCTTTATTTCTTGTTCTGATTTGGTTTGTGCTTTGATATATATTGTAACACGATTTTAGGGTTTGGTTAATCAGAGAATAGAGAGTATTTTGAGCACTTTGAGAGGAAGAACTTGTGAGCGAGTTGAGAGATCATTGGTTGGGGTTTGTTTGAGTGTTTGAGTGATTGTAACCCTTTTGTACTCTCCTCGAAATAGTGAAATCTCCCTATCCCCTCCCCGTGGACGTAGGCAAATTGCTGAACCACATATATCTCTGTGTTTGCGATTAGTTTGTCGTATTTTGGATTGGATT